CTGCTTTATTCTGATATTCAGGTTGCCGAGTGTGATCAACACACTCGTATAAATAAATCGACATTTTTTTTTCCTAAACGTATTATTGGAAAAACCTTTTTAATGCCCAATACTTCTGCAACTCTGATTCCTTATACGTGCGTCGGAAAATCCATTTTTGCGATACTCATAAAGAAATGCATTTGTTGCCTTTATTTCACTGGCTAATATTTCGAGAGAGGTTGCAGAAGACTGAAAAAGATTACTTGATTTGTTGAATTGAAATAAAACATCATACTAAATAATTATTGATAATAAGAAAGGCTATGTTCTAATATATTCCGTTGGCGATCGTACTTCTGTGGTTGTAGCCCTATCTGTCTTTCCTAAGTTATATTCTTCCAAACAACCGAGTGCCTCTAAGATTTCTTTTAAATAACAGTGAAGTGGTTTAACACAGTTTATTCTACTTTCCCACCTGTTATCTGATTATAGTTTGGCAGGAATAGCCATGCTGAATTTTAAAATTTCCCATAGAGGAGGAGACAATGAAAAGAATGTATATAACCTTGAAAGAACATTAAAAAAAGAAATTTCACTAATAAATGACCAATGCTCATTTGTTCTTTGTGCGAAATGCATGGCATACAATCTAATGTATTAGAATAATATTTTGCTTTTTTTACCTTAGACAGGTTTTTAGATTCAATCTCCTCTTCAAACCTCATTATGTGTGTCATTGCTCAAAGAGAACTCTTTGGTTTCTTTGTCCTGAATTCTTTGCATAAGCTCATTTAGAACGGTATTGTACTTAACCAGTAACTCAAACATCCCAAGAAATGTACTTTTAAAGACATCCTAGTACCTAGATCTTGATATGAACTCAGCAGTTATCCAACTTTATCTTCAAATTTAGGAGCTTTGTTGGATCCTAAAAAATTTTTGTAGATATCTTTAAAAGCATTCCATGCTTTGTGTTCTTTAAAATTTAGATTATTCGGAAACTCTGTGTCATTGAGGAGAACTCGAACATGTGGGCCAACAAATATTTCTTTTTCACGTAGTGCTCCTGTGTTGCCCGACTGTCTCACAAACATAAAAAGCACAAGTCTATTTTGAAGCCACTCTGCATGCCTAACAGTAAAACAATTACTTTAAGATCGCCACATATTTTCCATTTGTACTAATCATACTTAATTGCATTTAGCAGTACAATCATGCTTTTGTAGGATTCCCTTAAGTGTACAAAGTGTACGACTGGAATGCTTGGATATGTATTTCCATTATGCAATAGCACAGCCTTTAGAATCAATAAACAGAAGCCAATCATCACGGTTATGTTCAACATTAAAAAATGAAAACATTTCTTCATGATCTAAACAAAAGCGTAGCTGATTAACTGCCTGAAAACTGCCCGACAGTTCAGAACTTCGGCTACAAATGGATGTAATTCTTTTTTTTTCTTTTTTTTTATTATCTTCGCTTCCAACAAGGTTGCAAGCAACCACTTATTAGTGTTGGCAGTTACTGGAAGAGAAAAGATGAAGATTGTAGAGCAAGATAACGATTGACAGACGACTTAAAATATTGCAAATTATATGAATCAGGAAAGCAAGATGAAGGAAGCGAATTCCAAAGAACTGATGTTCGAGGAAAAAAACTAGACAAATAAGAGTTTTTGGAGCACTTAGGAAGAGTAACAGAAAAAGGATGAGACTTAATTGAATGACGAGCAACACGAGAATGAATTTTAGTAGATGGCACAAGAGACGCTAGCACTTTAGAGCAGTGCCCATTATAGTATTTGTAGAAAAGAGAAAGAGAAGCAACATTACGACGATGTGACAGAGGTTGAAGGTTGGCTGCAAGAGCAGGTCCAACTATGTTTACAATGCGTTTTTGCACCTTGTCTAAAAGAGAAAGGGCATCATTAGAAGATCCGCCCCAGATATGGCAACAGTATTCCATACAAGGCCGAATTTGAGATTTATAGAGATAGAGAATAGAATCCAGAGTAAAAAAGTGACGAGCTCGATAAAGAGAAGCAACTTTAGCAGATGCTAATTTTGCAACGGATTTGATATAAGGTTTCCAAGAAAGATCAGAAGTAAGAGTTAATCCTAGAAGATGAAGGGTAGGAGACTCATCGCACATCACAAGCAACCAAATAATTCGCACATCACAAGCAACCAAATACCATTGTTTAAGCTTTAATGCCAACAGTTCTACCGTGTTTTTGGACATATATAAGTCCCTTACTAAATTATTTAAATCTTGCTGATTTAGTAGATGAGGCACAGACGTTCAGGCTGGTATTCAGTATCAAATGAAGGATTTTCTGTAAGATCCATTGGAAGTTTTCTAGATTTCTTATTATTGAAAATGCGTTTAAATGTGAAAAAAGTGGTATGGATATCAGAAAAATTAGACCTGATAGAAAGAAACTGATAGTATTTTTGGAATCAGCAGCCTTTTTTGCTGCTGACCAGTGTAATCGAACTCTTTATATGTTGTATTTATGTTGCGCAAATCGTGTTTTTTTTAAGATGCGGTTTATGAAATTATTTCTGTAAAATTATTTTAATAGAAATAAAACATTAAAAATGTTTCTTTAACAGTTCAAAAAATAAACAATAAATTTTGTAATTTTATACAGAAATTGTTTACTATTTAGAATACTTTTATGAATTTTTCAATACCATTTGAATCTATTTGACTCTCCTGATATAATATAGATTTCTTTTAGAAGGCTTAAAAATTTTTAAAAGCGTTTTCAATCATAAATGTGTACAGCTATATTATATAGCTGTACATATATAGCCTATATATATCAACATATGTATGCATTGCTTTAAATCTTTTTTTTTTAATCATGCCCACTCATAGGGGCGCTATTCAAGACTACGCTCTGGGTGTTATGAACGCTCCATGCGGCCCTGGACCAAAGTCAACATAATTTAATTTTACAAATTTTAAAAGAAATGTTTAAAGAGTGTTATAAAAATAAAAAAAACAATTAATAATAAAAAATTATAAATAATAGTTACAATTGTTAGGCAAAAAAAATGTTTTAGTTTTTTTAAAAACATTATTCGATGGTTTTAGAAGGTCTTCTATTTTAAAGTATATTTAAGGGTTATTTGATTTAATTTTAGAAACATAATAGAAAATGACTTTTAAAAAGATAATGCGGGATATGATTTTTTTCATACTATTTTTTATTTTAATTGCTGCTGAAATAAATCGTTTTGAATCTGCTTACAGAAACAGGATGCTTAATTCTAAGACATCTTGAGAAAGTATTGTATCTTCTTTTCAAAAAGATTGGAGATGTAAGGTTATATTTAACGCAATTACTTGCATATTATGTGTTTTACTATTTTAATTATTATTATTTATTAATACCAGCAGTAAGCAACCCGTTATACGCGTTGTTTGTAAATAAAATTAAAAAAAAAAAAACTGCGTATAGAAAAGCGTAGAAACTACTTTAAAATAGAAAAGCAATAGAAAATGAGGTACCTCGACTAATATTAAATTGGCGTATTCATATTATCAGATTTAAAAATAAAGGGTAAAACAAAGTTTTTTTAAAGAAGCTTTTAAGTTTATAAATGTTGAACTAAAACAAGACTTTGATGTGATATTTTTAAAAATAATTTAACGACATTCACAACAATTTTTAATTCAATAACAAATTTAAAAATACGCGCGAACCAAAAAACGCGCGTAATTATATGTCAACTGAGAATCCGATGTAGAAGATTACACTAATAATATATATTTTTCTATAACAGCTATTGTTAGTTTTTGAAGAATTATTGTTTCTTTATAATATATCTACACAATTAGTAAAGATAGATCTTAATTTGATCGATTGAATCAACTTATAATAGGAGCGGACTCAACCGATCAATTTAAGAACAAGTTAAATAATAGAAGTTCTATAATTTTGCTTGTAAGCTGTTTGTAGTAGTTTATCATCTCCGCCTGATTTATCACCTCCTCCTCCTCCCCCCCTCACTCCCATAAAAAACTCAAAACGAGATTGCGCTTTTAGTTTATAGCTGTTAGAATTGTACCTACGACGTCCGTTTAGCGCAATAACTTAAAGGAAAGACAAGGTCAACAATTCTAGAAATAAAATTTACTCGGTCTGTTGTGATGCTCCAGCTCCATATTTTTGAAAGGTAATTAAAGAAAAAACAATAGCGATATAAATTATACTATAATTTGTAATTATAAATTAACAAGTTATGTATTTTTGTTGTAGATACTTGAGGACTTGAATTATATGTGACTGATTTATCACCTCCCCCCTAGTAAATTACTTGTCTTACATCTGATTTATCACCTTACCCTTAGTAAAACACTAAGATTGATATTGTGTGATAATGGTATTGAGAGATAGTGATAGAAGTTATACAACCATAAATTAATTAGTTATGTATTTTTGTTGTAAATACGTTAGGATTTGTTTTATATGGGTAATTCCACATCAAATCACCCAGTCCATTGAACCATGTGTCTTCTTTTTGTTTTATATTTTGACACATTATTCCTAATTATAAAAAAAATTGCATGCAATATTTCAGCAAAAAATGTTGAGCGGTTGACAAGATACTGTGATTTTAATATTGACCTGGTTTCCCAAAATGACCCGGTTTACATAACATTCTAAAAATATCTTTTTCTTAAAAAAATAAGAAATAAAAATGGCAAAAATATAAAAATAAACATATATAATATTTTTTTGATGCTGAATTCAATAAATGTACTTAAAATGCTGAAATATAAAAGGAACAAGCTTAAAAGTTAATAAAACAACAAGTTTCTATAAACCAACTTTGGGGCCCAATATCTCCAAACACCCCCGTCAAATTTTTTTTTTTTTTTTTGCTGTTAATATATTCAGCTGCTTATAATCTTACTAGGCACAAAATATCTAACTGGAAAAACAACTGAAACATATAAAAATTTAATATCTAAGATGTATTACTTTTTCAAAAAATTCCCAAAAAATGTTTGTAAATAAAATAAAAATAAGTTAATCGTAATTTAAAAATGTATTTAAATATACAAGATTTTTCAAGATGCAAGTTATTTTGACTGTGTTTGAATTAGTTCACAATATTGTTCCCATTTTACTTGTACTTTTTCTATTTCAGCATTTTCAAACATATAGTTTCTACCGGAACTAGAGCAAGCTTGTGGAACAGATAGTTTTTTCAATATGTTGGTGTAAGGAATAAAACAGTAGTCCTCTCTTTCAGGCCAGTTAAAACAGATTGATGGACCTTTTGGGTGAAGAAACTTAACTTTAACATCAACTTCTTCTAGGTTAGTTTCAGTTACAATGCCGATCCACCACTTATCATCATAGACTACAGCTACATAACCTCCTAAAGTGACAGTATCAAGTTGAAATATATCTTGTTTCTTTTTAAGGTTGTGAATTATTTTATAATTAGTGTCTGTACTACACCTCTTTGCCCCAACCCTGTTATCTCCAAGATGTATAAATTGATGAAAGCTACGAGTACCAGGTAGAGTTGTTACACCAGTGTACCTTTCTTTTTGTTCCTCACGTTGCAATTGTAAGTCTATCCTCTTTATGTAAATGAAGTTAACAACCTTGATTTTCTCAATACAAAATTCATACATAGCTTCAGATGTGAGAATTTGATTTCTGTATGGTCGTTTTAAACTTTCTTGTGCTGTTAACCTTTTTAGAGTGCCGCCAATACCATCGCATGGTGACTTTCCGTGTGACGTGGCAAAAAAATTCCATTCAACTTTAAGGGAAAATTCGCTCTCTAGTTGGCATAGATTGTAAAAGCTTTTACAATTTTTGTACTGTCCTGCGCAACCATCAGTAAATAGATGTAATTTGGACAGATTGGAAAATTTTGTTTTTAATATTGGTATGAATAGTTGAAATATTTTGTACACATAAGTTACATCATGTGTAATGTTGTCTGATATAAAACAATAAGAAATATGTTTCAGTACACCTTTATCATCTTTATAGTATATCACTAATGGATGTAAAGAACATTGTTGGGTGTTCCAATGATAGCTTTGTATTTCATCTTGGACTACAAAAGTATAATTTTCAACAAAGTCGCCAATAATGATAATGTTTGATTGATCCATATTTTGTTTTAGTTGGTTAAGGTACTGTGATTGAGAGTGAGCAATAAAAGAATGAGCTTGTAGCTTTTCAAAGCAAGATACTAATAGTTCAACAAATGTTGAAACATCTGCTGTTAAACTCAATAGTGTTGCACGATCAGTAGTTTGCCATTGCTTGTAGTGTATCTCAAAATCATCTTCGTATTCTCCGAAAATCTCATACATATATTTGGTGAGGGTTTCTTTACCAGGACAATTATCACACTGTGCAAGCATGCATTCTTTGTTTTCTACTGAGCAAACGGTTTTCGAAAGTAAATCCTTATACTTTAGTCCAATATTTAAGGCATCTACTAGCAATATGGCATTTTGGTGATAACAACAAACACAAACAGAATGTGTACCATTTGCACCTGGCAAAATGCACCACTTTGGTCTAAGTGAAGCAAATTTTGAGTAACTTATTTGTATTTCTGGATTGTTTTCTTTGTATAATACATATAGTTCTTTTAAATTACACAAAAGCAGTTTTTTTTGTTTATGGATATTCTTTTGAATGCTAACATAATCTTTTTTTCCAGACATAGTTCTACATAAATCACTTGAATCATAAAACAATTTAACAGAATCTTCTATTTCTTTGTGTAAGACTTTACCTTTATACAATGGAGAGATAGCTAACAATCATTTTTTATTAAAAATTTGTCTAGCCATTTTTGCTTGGTATTCTGTAACTGCAAAGTTATTTTGTACTTCTAATATCGACCATCTTGGGGGTGCCAGTGTTAGAAGTTGAACAATTGTCCTTTTGTCAGAACATAGAATTTTTTCATTTATCAAGCTCATAATTTCATCAAAGTTTTTAGCTTTCTTTTTCATGTTATTTGTTTCATAACACAGTTTTGATGGAACATTGACTTTCAGTTTTTCTAGTAACGTTATTTACCATTTCGTTGATGCGCGCAATTTTTCGCTTTCCTTCTGAGAGAATATGTTTTGATGACTTTGAATGAGATTTTAGAGGAGATATATTAAAATTTTTGAGTTCTTCATTGATCTCCTGTCTTTTTGATTTGAATGATGGTATTAGAAAATCCTCATCTTGTTCCTGGCTTTGTTTCTTTTCTTTAAGATCTTTTTTTATGGCAATCTTTTGCTTACAAGGTTTGCAAAGTTTCTTCCCAGGAGCAATATTCAAACTACTTCTCATCATGACTTGTGACTCATTTATTGTAACTACTATGAGATTTTCTAAAAGTAATTGATTTGTATAAAGCTTATCTGCACAACTGTTCAAAACATTGTTTATGTTTTAGAAAATACAAATTAAAAAAGTATATATATATATATATATATATATATATATATATATATATATATATATATATATATATATATATATATATATACAATATTTAAATTTTACATCTATTTACTTGTGATTTTCTTTGTATGTTTATTGAATGGATCACAACATGCTTTCTGCCATATAGGATACAATTTCAAATATTTTGTAGTATATCTTTCACATAATATCGTTAAGTTTGATAACTCAATGTTACAGCGTAATGATATAGTTATTTTTTCTTCATTGCTTAAAGTTTCAATAACATCTTGTTGGCCATTGCATTCATCTGATGTCAATAAACCAATAGAACACATCTTATAATAAGTTACTTAGTATGAATGTATTTCCTAAAAAAAAAGGAAAAAATTGTTCTTTTCTACATAATTTTGAGTAAAAAAAAAATGAATATAGAAATAATTCAAACCTTTTCAGAATCCTTTTGTTGTATAATTTTTTACATTGATAGATATTGTTAATTTTCTTTATAAATACTATATATATATATATATATATATATATATATATATATATATATATATATATATATATATATATATATATATATATATATATATATATATATATATATATATATATATATATATAATCTATATATATCAAATTTTAAAAATTTAAATAAAATTTTACCGATAAATGTTGTTATAACTGAACTTTTTATAAACTAGTTTTTATAAACTTTTACAAACTATAGTTGTCAAAATTTTAAAAACAAATGCACTTCAATATCACACCTTGTCAGATTTTAAAAACAAAACAGGATGTTTTTTTCAGTTGTTAAGATCAAATAACAAATTTATTATATAATTAAGACTTCCTTAAATATAACTAAATTTAATATTTTACAAAATTCTATTTGCAAGTTTTTTAAACTAATTTATTGAAAATTTGATATATCTTTAAAATTAAAGTTACATATGTTTTAGTTGTTTTTCCAGTTAGATATTTTGTGCCTAGTAAGATTATAAGCAGCTGAATATATTAACAGCAAAAAAAAAAAAATTTGACGGGGGTGTTTTGAGATATTGGGCCCCAAAGTTGGATTATAGAAACTAGTTGTTTTATTAACTTTTAAGCATGTTCCTTTTATATTTCAGCATTTTAAGTTTTTTGAATTCAGCATCAAAAAAACATTATATATATTTATTTTCACATTTATTGAATTCAGCATCAAAAAAACATTATTTATATTTATTTTCATATTTTTGCCATTTTTGTTTCTTATTTTTTAAAAAAAAAATGTTTTTTTAGAATGTTATGAAAACCGGGTCATTTTGGGAAACCAGGTCAATGTTAAAATTGCAGTATCTTGTCAACCACTTAACATTTTTAGCTAAAATTTTATGTTTTAACTTTTTTATTAAAGATGCAACAGCCAAAGAAGTTTTTAAAAATTTGAGGAACCATGGTTCAAAATTTCCTAAATTTTGGGTGATTTGATGTGGAATTACCCATATGTGACTGATTTATCACCTTCCCCCTAGTAAATTACTTGTCTTAAGACAAGTAATTTACTAGGGGGAAGGTGATAAATCAGACGTAATTACGTCTGATTTATCACCTCCCCTCTAGTAAATCACTAAGCTTGAGATAGTGTGACAATGGTATTAAGCGATAGTGATAGAAGTTATACAACTATAATATAATTAGTTATGCATTTTTGTTTTAAATACTTTAGGATTTGTTATATATGTAAATGAATTATCACCTCCCCCCTAGTAAATTGCTTGTCTTACATCTGATTTATCACCTCCCCCCTAGTAAATTACTAAGCTTGAGATAGTGTGACAATGGTATTGAGCGAAAGTAATAGAAATTATACACCTATAATATAATTAGTTATGTATTTTTGTTTTAAATACTTTAGGATTTGTTATATATGTAAATGAATTATCACCTCCCCCCAGTAAATTGCTTGTCTTACATCTGATTTATCACCTCCCCCTAATAAATTACTAAGCTTGAGATAGTGTGAAAATATTATTAAGAGATAGTGATAGAAGTTATACAACTATAAATTAATTAGTTATGTGTTTTTGTTGTAAATACTTTAGAATTTGTTTTATATGTGGCTGATTTATCACCTCCCCCCTAGTAAATCATTAAGTTTGAGATTGTGTGACAATGGTTTTAAGAGATAGTGATAGAAGTTATTCAATTATAAATTAATTAGTTATGTATTTTTGTTGTAAATACTTTAGAATTTGCTTTATATGTGACTGAATTATCTCCTCCCCCCTAGTAAGTTGCTTGTCTTACGTCTGATTTATCACCTCCCCCCTAGTAAATAAATAAGCTTGAGATAGTGTGACAATGGTATTAAGCGATAGTGATAGAAGTTATACAACTATATGTTAATTAGTTATGTATTGTTGTTGTAAATACTTTAGAATTTGTTTTATATGTGGCTGATTTATCACCTTCCCCCTAGTAAATCATTAAGCTTGAGATTGTGTGACAATGGTATTGAGAAATAGTGATAGAAGTAGGGATTGCAATCCCGGGCATGAATTACGATCCCGGAATTTCGGGATTGAAGTAAATAAAATCCCGGTATCCCGGTTTCCCGGGATTTTATATAATGTGAATTATTTGCTAAAAAATAAAACTTAACACTGCATATATGAATATGCTTTTTGATGTTCTCAATTCTTTTTTTAATTTCATTATGTTTTAATGACTTACATTAATTTTCTACGGCGCCTTAAATTGTTTTAATTGTGTAACAGGCAGCAGGTGTATTTAAAGATCTTAAAATAATGCAGAAATATATATACGGTACCTTCCATATTATGTTTTAAGATTACAGACTTTACAGAATAACCTTCATCAAATAATTGGATATGTAAATAACATTTGAACATTTAAAGTGTATTTGACTAAAGTAACTAAACAATCAAAATTTCAAAATAAATTTGTAAACATAAATTTTTTTAAATTTGGGTACCAATGTAGCTGCTGTAGCAACAAGCTACTTTGTAAAAAATAACATAATTAGTTATTTGTTAATAGACTAAAGCTGTCATTCGAGCCAGTGTTTCGTCTAGGGTTTGTTTTTTTTTCGGATGCAAAGTAACTTGTTATTCTTCGTTTCGTAGGAGGCTACTCGTCGGTTCTGGCATCATTCAACTGTTGGCTCGAACTAGGTAAATTATTGTCGGCTGAAGTTACTTTCAAATTATGCTTAGTTGATAAGTGCGTATGAAGACCTTTTGTAGAACCACCCAATGTTTTCAAAATTACACCACATTTATTACATTTTGCTGCCAAATCCGCAGACTTCAAATAATGTGACCACCCTGAAGTTGGGTCTTTATCTTTTTTGTGTAGAAAAAATGATGTTCCCTTTTCACTGTTTTCATTCATGTTTAGAAGGATATTTTTTTAAGGTGCATTAGTAAACAACATATTATTGCAGTAAACAACAAAAGCATTAAAAAGGTTATCAGTTCAAAACGTTCAAAACGATTCATTCCACAGTCAAATTTTGTATGTATTCACACTAGAATTCCTTCAAGCAGAATTAATTGTCAAGGGCATTATAATGTTGCAATAACTAATAATTGTACAAATATAATTATACAAATCGCTAGAAATATCCCAAAGGGAATTGTTATGTAGTAATCATTAAATTTTTTTAGATCTAATTTTTTTTTTATTACTTGTTCATTTTTATTTTTTTCATTCTCTAAAAATATTTTTTGAAATGAACAAAACGACTTAATAAACTCAAGCAATCACTTAACGACAAATTCGCTCAACAATTTTAAAATTTATCTTTTTAACGCGAGAAGTCTTGCCAACAAACTTAACGATTGTTTTTTATACAATAGTCAAACAAACCTGCCTTAATTTGCGTTTGTGAAACTTTTTTCAATGATAAAATCCCGAACTACATGGTCTATTCAAAAATTTGTTCCATTTATTGTAAGGTTAAAGCATAAACAGGATAAACCTGCAAAGCATCATTATATAACTCGTTATAATTCAGTATAGTTACCAACTTTGAACATTTTGTTTTACAAAATAATTTAATTAGTTCAATCATGCTAAAATCCCGAAAATCCCGGGATTTTGTGTTTAGAATCCCGGGATTTTCGGGACCCAAAAACGTCCAGGATCCCGGGATCTCGGGATCTCGGGATCCGGGATCACGGGATTGCAATCCCTAGATAGAAGTTATACAACTATAAATTAATTAGTTATATATTTTTGTTGTAAATACTTTAGAATTTGTTTTATATGTGGCTGATTTATCACCTCCCCCCTAGTAAATCACTAAGCTTGAGATTGTGTGACAATGGCATTGAGAGATAGTGATAGAAGTTATACAACTATTCATGCATTACCAATTCACTATGTAATTAAATTTATTAAAACAGCTTTTTTAGCGAGACAAATTTTAGCGTATAAATAAAAATAACTTGAGCGGTTTTTTTTCTCTCGTGGCTAATCTACAAACATTAGATAAGTTGTTTAATCCTCTGATATCTATTGCATACTTGTTATTTGTCAATAATTATTATTTGATTTTATTTGTTTGTTTTATATTTGTATTACGAAGTTTATTTATCACTATGCTTTCTTGTAAAAGGGAGACACTAATACTATACATTGGATGCTTAAAAGCTTAAACTTTAAATTTTTAGGCATTTTTTAACATTTAAGTATGATTTTTTTGTTTTTTTTTAATAGTTCAACAATGTGTACATTTAATAATAAATATTGAAAATATTATTCTTTCTGAGTTTTTTTGATAAAAAGTAGTTTTTGATAAAAAGTCAACATTTGCCGCGTTTATTCTAAAATTAAAGAAGTTTTTTAATATATCTGTGAAACGTCATCAAATAAAACATTTTATTGGTGTTTTTATTCTTTTTACATAACAAAATTATCTCTAATGTTTCAAAAGTTATAAAAGTTTTAGTAACACCCCTTACGTAAATATTTTCAAAAAATAACAAGAAGCCGTAAAGCTCTCTTGAAACAGCCGTGCTCTAGCTAAGTTTTTTTTGGCTAAGTATTCCATAACGTATGGCTCTGACTCTTAAGTTTTTTTTCTCCAGCTCCGGTTTTTTTTATTATATTTTAAAAGTTTAAACTAAATATTTGACGTATGAAAACGTTATAAATCGGTTGAAAATAAAATTGATAAGACTATATTTGGTTGAAAATAATTCAGACCCTACTAGGACATCTAAAACATCTGTAGATCTAACACAAGCCGAGATCTAACACGAGATGAGAAGCTAGCAGTTTTTTAATAGCTCAGGCTCTTGCTTCTTTCGCCTCTTCCGGCTTCGGCTATTATACCTTAGAATCCTTCTAAAAACTTCTGGTTCAAGCGCCCATACTTCGTCTTATCCGGCTCTGGCGTATTAGTACTTCTTTGACTTAATAAAATGGCTTATATATATTCGTAAATCACTTGTAATTTGGACATTTTAATATCCAATAAATTCTCAAAATTAAACGGTAAATTTTACCTTGGCAACACCATGCCAAATATAAATGTGGTAATTTCAGCCCGCGCCTTTATAAGTGCATTAAAAAACAAAGCATACGACCAATTTACCTCTATTGGCTTAGCCCACAAAAAAAGTTTTTGCATGCGTTTGTAGTTGCTATTGCGGTAAACCCACGCCTTTATATATATAATAAAAACTTTTCACTGTTTGAAAAAAATCTGTTGTTAAGTTCTGTCAATAATGATCAACATTGAAAAAAAAAGAAAAGTGTTTCGAAAATATATTTCAATACTTATCAGAAAAGATTTATCCGGCTGGTTTTCAGAAAAATGAAAAACGAAGCCTTAGAGATTTATCTCGAAGTTACTCTGTGCAAGGTAATTTAATTTCAGAACATTTAGTTAAATAAATAAATCGTTCCAAGCTACACAAAAAATTTAATATTTTCTTTAAGATGGAAAGCTAAAACGGAAAGTCACACTCTACGGAAACTCATATCTCGTGGATGTAATCTTTTGTAAACAAGAGCAAGTAAAAATATTTTCAGATGAACACGGAAGCCCTTTGGGAGGTCATTGTCGTGAAACAAAGTCAAAGTCAAAAATTATGGAAAAATACTTTTGGCCAAACATGACAAAGGATATTGTAAAATCGGTAGGCAATCAGCAATTACACAAATAAATCAGTTGAAATTCTGAAACTGAATAAAAGTTGCAATTTTCTTAACAGGTAAAGGAATGCAAAGTATGTCAAACATCTAGTACACTTCTTTCATCAGTAGAGCCGTTACGTTCAATAAAAGTAAGAATACTTTTTATAAGTATAATAAAAACAGTCTATATCAGGCTTTCTCAGGAAACGCGTGCGGTCGCACGCCTTGAATGACCACGCATGTTTGTTTTTTTGTTGTTAACTTGGCCACGATTTTATTGCATATAATATATGCAATAAAATCGTGAATGACCGCGCATGATTGTTATTTTGTTGTTAACTTGGCCACGATATTATTGCATATAATATATGCAAAAAAATCGTGGCCAAGTTAACAACAAAAAAACAAACATGCGTGGTCATTCAAGGCATGCGACCGCACGCGTTTCCTGTTTTTTTTAAAACAATGTATATTCATTTAGACCGATGCAATTATACATTAAATAATACTTATCTTTTTATTTACGTTTATTTAAGTAATAACTAATTGATATTCTATACTACAATAATACTCTCTTAATCTAGAAATAATTTATATTTATTATACAATAGTATATATTTACTATACTTTCTGAATGTTCGCTGACATAAAATAAAAATGAAACAATAACATCATTCAATGTTGGTTTATATGTAATAAAATATTTTAGAAAACTCGAGTATGGGAAATTGTAGGTATTGATTTTGCAGGACCCTTTACGGAAACAACGATGGGCAACAAATATTTTCTAAGTTGCACTGATTTGTTTTCTAAGTGGCCGGTTGCATATGCTTTACCAAATAAAGAAGCTGTCACTGTTGCAAAAGCAATTATTCAGTTAGTAACAACTTTTGAATTTCCTTTGGCAATACTTTCAGACAACGGAACTGAGTTTTGCAACCAGGTAAAAAGATATGGTCATATTTCGTAAAACTCAATGGGACCGTTTATTGATTATACTAATCGTAATTTTTTAGTTAAACGATGAAATATACAAAACACTGGGCATTGAAAGAAGAAAAACAGCTGTTTATCACCCACAAACCAACGGCCAGGATGAAAACACCAATAAAAATATAAAAAGGTGACAGTAATTTTTGCTTAGGGCGAGGACCGAATAATGATGTTTAGCGTTGATTTGAGCTGTGATGTTTATATTAAACGGATTTTATACGTGTAACTAAATTTTGCTTGTTTTATCACATACACTCTATTGACGATGGTTTCATATTTACTGAATAGTTCAAGATCAACTTATCAAACATATTTTAGTATATATTGTAATGTATGTATATTGTAATGTATGCGAATATTGTTATAGTATGTTTATTATAATTTTATTTTGCATTTCATCTCTTTTGTTAAATGTAAATGTGTTTTCCACAGTAGAAAATTAAGGAAACTGGTTAATGAAAATCAAACAAATTGGGACAAATATCTTGCTGTTATTTTATATCCACTGCGAGTGGAGAGACAACAATCTACGAAAGTATCCCCGTTTGAAATAATGTTTAGCGGTCGATCACCTGTTTGTACTTGTGACTTTGAAGAAGTAAAACTGTTTTTTATTATAAATCCATACATTAAAAATGTTTGCATTAATTACACTGGATCAATAACGAGTTTATGTATCAATTTAGAACAAAACGTTAGTGGAAGCAACAGTTGAAGATATAACGAGAGAAACGGAAGAAATAAAACTTCAAATTAAAAATCTCACAAGTTTGGTTTATAAGGTTCGATTGCAAAGGCCTTATCCTAAATTTTATATATATATATATATATATATATATATATATATATATATATATATATATATATATGTATATATATATATTTATATATATATATATATATATATATATATATATATATATATATATATGTATATATATATATATATATATACATATATATATATATATATATATATATATATATATATATATATATATACATATATATATATATATATATATATATATATATATATATATATATATATATATATATATATATATATATATATATATATATATATATGTATATATATATATATATATATATATATATATATATATATATATATATATATATATATATATATATATATATATATATATATATATATATATATATATATATATATAGAAATACAATGCAGATAAACATAAATAAAATCAATCCTCTAATTAGCTATAATAATTAATAAATAGTAATGAAAGAATTTAAAAAAATAGTAAAATTGTTTTGTTTTAGAACATTACAGATGCTCAAACAAAAGCTACACTACGATAAAAGAGTATTAAAATGTACAAAAATAGTTGAGAGTCCATTGGTGTCGAAGATAAAGTATTGTTACTTGACATAAGAGGTCGACGTTCAAAAGGCGCAGCATTCAAGCCACGCTTTAAGGGACCGTTTACTGTATCCCATGTAACGCAATGTGGGAACTTTAGGTTAAAAGACGACAACGGTGTGCAAATATCGGGGTCGCACAAAAAAATACATGAAAGTAATGTAAAAGGTAAAATGAATATGTTTTTTTAAGTAGTCATTTTTTTGTTTCATTGCTAGTTAGCTAGAGATTTAGGTGTTATGCAATTCTATTATGGTACTTTTTTTTAGATGATGTCAGTGTTATAGATTTGGCTAATAACAATATTTCGATCGACAGAACACATAGTAATTATCAATTTATGCCCCATATACATAGTTTATTTAATTTAAAAAGTTAAAATTAAAAGAGATTTTTTTTTAGAGGTTGCTGATTCAAAGGTACAAAGGGCAAAGATAGCCAAAAGTCAGGGAACGAACAACAAAGTTTCAAAGGACGCAAAATCCGATGAAAAAGGTCAAAGTTGTGTTATCGAAAACAGTGAAGGTATATCGACTATAGTAGCTTTGCATCTTAAGTGAGCAAAATTGAAAATTTTTGTTTTTTAAATGAAGATTATTGTATATTATAATGGTTATTTGTAAAAATAAGTAACAATAAATTTAATCTCCATTACATTTTAGGATTTGGAATAATTGAATGCATTACAAATCTAAAACCAGTTAAAGCAATAATGGGTTTAATGTTATTTAATGAAATGGGGGACAGTAAAATATATGACTACTCGCTGAAAAAAACTCTAACTGATTGTCTAAGTGATGAAATAGTTTACATTTATCTGAGGTTACTTGCGAGCAAACAAGATAAGTAAGATTTATTCAAAATGACGCAGTTATGTATTAAAATTATTTTATTGTGTAACAAATCTACAAAATAAAATCCTCAATTGTTAACCGGTTAACAATACTTTGTTTTTATAAAATAAACATTGCAAGGTAAGTAACAATACTTCGTAAATAAAGTTTTTTTTTTACATGTAAGAATGCAATTGAAGTACTAGCACCAGCCGGATTGCTGTCGTTGGAAAAGTTACCAAAAAAACTGCTCTGATTCGAAGGAAACATATGGTATTAAACAGTGTCACTGAAAAAAAAATTAAATATAAACTTTATTAAATCATTTAAAGCTTTAATTGAAGTATAAACAATGACACAAAAAGGTGAATAGTTTGAAATATTTCCCCCCTTTATTTGTGTAAATTTATGCACATATGGCCGTTGGTGCAAAGGCTGGGTGCAAGTATTATAAAGAACCATTTAACATAATATTTGGGACAGGACAAAATATATTTTACATAGTCACCTAATTGTGTCACTTTTTATTTATAATAATTGCGACATATAAATAAATATCATATTTATATGCAGGATGAGTTATTCAAACTAGATATAATTATGTGCTGTGTTGTTGCAAAACATCATTGGACGCTAACAGTAAGTCAAACTTTCCTAACTCCTCATTAAATAAGATTTGTGGTATATTACATCAAAATGAATGAATGAAATGGGTTATAAACAATATATAAATATAAATATAATATATATATAACAATATATAAATAACATAAACAATACAAATCATTATTTTATAAAAATAATATAATTGCATTTATTTACAAATATAAAACGAACATGAAATTCAAGTGAAACAATAGTATCATTGCAATATTATAAATACCTTTTGTTCCAGATAATCAAACCAAAGGAAAAATGCTTGTATTATATAAATCCTCTGAGTGAACTATTACCTACATTACAAAAAGAAGAAATAAAATGGAAGTATGACATTATTTAATGAGCAACGCATTTATTTAATAAAATTTAATGTTGTTCTTAAAAATTGTTATATTTAAATAATAAAATTATTTATCTTTTAAATTTCAGTAGCTATTTGAAACAGAGATATGGAATTTCAGAAACATTTAAAATACTGACATTGCCACATGCACTGCAAAAAGATAGCATTTCATGTAGAATCTTTTGTCTTAAAGTAACAATAAATTAATACTTGATTTTTTATTTTGTTCTATTTTATTTATTTTTAAGTTTCTTATCAAATAGATATAATTATCATTTACTTGTTTTTTGCAATAAAAACTTGTTACAAAGATATCTTTGTTTCTGCATCACTTGCGTTAACAGTGAACTGGTTTAAAGTATCAGCCGTCTAGCAACAGTGAACTGGTTTAAAGTATCAGACTCTAGCAATATGGGGTTCAAAACCCAACTCCGGACAAGTCTTTATAAATCAATTAGGAAGGAGGTATAAACTTCTCAATGCTTCTCTGCGATGCTCTGTGATAAGACCGTAAAGACTTCTTAGGGCACCTAAAACATATTAAAAATAAAGTCACAACACATCCATCTAATCATCAGATTTTTTGTTCTTTCCAAACGAAGGACATCATAAACCTTAATTGTCTCACTGAAATGCATAATAATAATCTGAGCACATGTGGTATATATCTCTCCTTTAAACTTTAATGAAGCACCTCTTTCTGCTAGTAGTAAAGATAATTCTCTTAACATAGCCCAGGTACTTCCTACACACTCCACATGATCACTTCCCAGTATTTACTTTTTGCTCATTCTTGACTTTAAAATGCATAACTTTTGTCTTATTCTTGTTTACCTGAAGCCCTTGTGCATCCATTTCCTCTGTATCTGTCTACAATTAGGCATAAATCATTAGTATAGAACAGCTCTCATGACAAACTAACTCAGCATTCTTTGGAAATAAAACAATAATAAAAAATGAAGTAGTGATTACTGAACCATGATGTACAACAAAATTAACTCTCCATTTTTTCTTTATGGAAAATTATAAATTCCCCTTTTTTTAAGTGGCTCAATACGCCCCCTGTTTAATAAAATACTTATTATAATAGTAACAAGAGTTTTATAACAAAACATAACAAATATTACAAAATATAACAAAATTTTATAGTTTGCTGAAAACTTTATAAATGGCAAAGACCTGGTAAAGACCTTTTCATTAGAAGAAGTAATCATATATCGAAATGACATGATGCACTCTCTTATAAGCAGAGGAGGTTTGTTATGTATTTAGTTAACTAAAAATTAGAAATGAAATTGTAAACAATTATAACAATAGACAAAACTGAATCTCAGGTCAAAAGAATTGGAAAGATGTTCTATGTCGCCTATGCGGAAAAGAAAAAGGACCAAAAACACATAAAAAACAAATATTAGACAAATGAGTATAAAATTTAAATTTTAAAAATGTCATTAATCTTATAATCATATTATGAAACAACTACTATATATGATTTATTTATAGATTAAGTGTGATAAATGCTTACCAAGTCGATGGTACCATATGGACTGTATTCCAAATGTTCTAGATAGCAGCAATTTATTTACTTGCGCAAACATTTCTCCTTAAAACAAACAAGTAGTAAATGTTGAAATAAAGTTGCATAACTATAACATCTTTAATATAAAAACAGTTTTTAACTTGATTTTAATAGTAACTTAGACAGCATTATTTTAATATTTTTTCATAAAATATTCTAATTTCTAATTTGATTCTAGTAAATCCAAAATTCTTTTATCAATATTTTAGATTTTTGTATTGCAGTTAAAAGAAACAAAGTAGAATTTGTAAAAAAGTATATGTATCATGTTTATTACTGTAAATATAAAATTATACAAATGTGTTGTTTAAAATCCTTTCTTTTTATTCCTCTTCAGTAAACTACATCTCTTTTATAAAGTAATTTCATTAAAATCTGTTTAAATAAAATAATACAATAAAATTTTATAAAAATTACTGCAGAAAAAAAAAAAAACATTCATGAACAATAAGGTATCACAAAATAAAAAACATTTGAAAAACCAATGTGTGGAAAATTAAAATTATAATAAAAATGTATACATAGTTGATAGCAAAAGTTTCAGCTCTCCAAATCAAAGCTAAGGTTAAAAAGATGTTTTAAGGCAATATCCCTGTATATTAAATAGGCACTTTGCCTAAGGATATTGCAAAAAAACACCTTCTTTACAATAGAGTTAATATGAAAAGATAAAACTTGATTTAAAAATGATAAAAACACTTTCCCAAAATACCATTGTCAATGTTTACTAAGGTGGAGTGATAAATCAGACGTAAGACAAGTAATTTACAAAGGAGGAAGTGATAAATCAGTCACATATAAAACAAATTCTAAAGTATTTACAACAAAAATACATAACTAATTAATTTATAGTTGTATAACTTCTATCACTATCGCTCAATACCATTGTTACACTATCTCAAGCTTAGTGATTTACTAGGGGGAGGTGATAAATCAGCCACATATAAAACAAATTCTAAAGTATTTACAACAAAAATACATAACTAATTAATTTATAGTTGTATAACTTCTATCACTATCTCTAAATACCATTGTAACACAATCTCAAGCTTAGTGATTTACTAGGGGGGAGGTGATAAATCAGTTACATATAAAACAAATTCTAAAGTATTTACAACAAAAATACATAACTAATTAATTTTTAGTTGTATAACTTCTGTCACTATCGCTTAATACCATTGTCACACAATCTCAAGCTTAGTAATTTACTAGGGGTAAGGTGATAAATCAGATGTAAGACAAGTAATTTACTAGGGGGGAGGTGATAATTCATTCAAATATATAACAAATCCTAAAGTATTTAAAACAAAAATGCATAACTAATTATATTATAGGTGTATAATTTCTATCACTATCGCTCAATACCATTGTCACACTATCTCAAGCTTAGTAAATTACTAGGGGGAGGTGATAAATCAGCCACATATAAAACAAATTCTAAAGTATTTACAACAAAAATACTTAACTAATTAATTTATAGTTGTATAACTTCTATCACTATCGCTTAACACCATTGTCACACTATCTCAAGCTTAGTGATTTACTAGAGGGGAGGTGATAAATTAGACGTTTGACAAGTAATTTACTAGGGGGAAGGTGATAAATCAGTCACATATAAAACAAATCCTAAAGTATTTACAACAAAAATACATAACTAATTAATTTATGATTGTAAAATTTCTATCACTATCTCTCAATACCATTGTCACACAATCTCAAGCTTAGTGATTTACTAAGGGTAAGGTGATAAATCAGATGTAAGACAAGTAATTTACTAGGGGGGAGGTGATAAATCAGTCACATATAATTCAAATCCTTAAGTATTTACAACAAAATAACATAACTTGTTAATTTATAGTTAAAAATTATAGTATAATTTATATCGCTATTGTTTTTTCTTTAATTACCTTTCTAAAATATGGAGCTGGAACATCACAACAGACCGAGTAAATTTTATTTCTAGAATTGTTGACCTTGTCTTTCCTTTAAGTTGTTGTTGTTGAAGTTTATTGCGCTAAACGGACGTCGTAGGTACAATTCTAAAAGCGCAATCTCGTTTTGAGTTTTCTATGGGGGGAGGTGATAAATCAGGCGGAGGTGATAAACTACTACATGTCTCATCTTTCCCACAAAGACCGTATGTTAAAAACATAAAATTCTTACCTTACAAATCAAATTAGATTTTCTTTTCTTTTTGGGGTATGAATAATAAAGAAATCTTTTTTTAAAAAATTAGCAGCACGACACTAGTACTTCTAAATATTTATCAAGAATATGAATTGCATTGAATATGTCTTCACTAAGTAACGCGTTGAAAAAAATAATGGCTTTCCTAAGTTTTAAAAATACCAGTTATTTTGTCATCAAACAAACTAAACATTCCAAAAAACAGGTGTGTTAAGCTTAGCAAGTACAACCACAAACTATATGCTTAGTATTAATGAAGGACTATGATGATTACTATCTCCAGAAAGGATAAAAGAAAGTTGTCTCATCTTTCCCGTTGTCGCATATTGCCCCGAATTGCCCTACGTCACGGAGAGTTTGCAATTTTAGCAATGTTTACCGCGAAGTTTTTGAAACTTAAACTTAGCGTGACGTAGTTTATAAAATTGCTTATATTCTTTTTCAATAACATATATTCAAAAATATTTCAATAATTATTTCTAAAAGTTTTAAAAGATTTTTGATAAAAAATAAATAAACTTTCTAATAAATCTATCTAATTTTAAACTATGTGGCCATGGCCACAATGGCCACCCCTTAGATCCGCGCCTGATATATAATTTTATACGGAAAACATATTGTTATATGTAAACACATAAACACGTATTACAAACTTTTTATTCCCTGTGTAATAAGATATTTACATTTTTTTTACTAATATATAAACTTCACGGATATAAATTATTTCTGAGGATTTATCGAGTTAAAAGCAATTCATTTATAACTTTAAAATCGTTTATAACCTATAAACCTTAAAATCGCTTCCACTGTTAATTGCTAATAATGGTAACGCAAAAACAGCTTAATGATGCTCTTGAAAACGCTGATAAAATTGCCAAAGAAGAGCTGAAACAATATCTTTATGTAATTAAAACACTTACCACCAGAATTGACGAACTTACTAATAGAATTGATCTGCAGGATATTGAAATAAAGTCTTTAAAAGATAGCAAAAGTAGTAAAAAACCTTTGTTATCTTGAACTAGTCGGCAAACCCTGTACATTAGCAAACGTAGCTGTAGTGAGCGCCCTCAATAAGCATAACAAGGACGTGACTAACAGAGAAAAGAGAATTGTAGTGTTTGGTCTACCAGAATCTGTTAAAACTCAACCAAGCGAGATAACCAAAGATGATACCGCGGAATTCAATAAGGTTATGGCATCTTTAAGTAAATCAGTCAATGTAGTTAGAATTGAACGTTTCAAAAAAAAAAGAACTTTGATTCAAGTAAACCCGCTCCTCTTATGATTGAAGTTGATTCAGTATTTATCAGAAATGACGTTCTAGCGTCGGCTAAACAACTGGCATCGGGTACTTTTAAAGATATATTTATACGCCCCGACCGCACAGTAGCAGAGCAAAGCGAATTTATTAAATTAAACTTAGAAAGAAAAGAAGCTAATTCTGACCTTGACAAGCTTGGAAAACTTGACAAACCCTTTAGATTTGTCATCCGCAGCGATAAATTGCGATGCATTGATGTCTCGCAAGAAATTGAAATCAATGGACCTAAAAAGCATCCTTTCATCAAATGGAAAGATGCACAAGCAGCCAGAATTGCTAAAACATAAAGAATCAAATCGTTTAACTGCGAATACTTATTTAAATGCATTAAATACAAAAATAAAATCTGCTAAATCTAACCCTAAAAATAAACTTTTAAAATGTTTTTATACTAACGCAACTTCTTTTAATCCGACTAAAATGAAGAATTATCTGCATTCTGTGATATAAGCATGCCTAATTTATTCTTTATTTCTGAGACATGGTTTACTAAAACATCTGCCACTCAATTAAATAACTATTCACTAGTGGAAAAAAAATATAGAATAGGTCACGGTGGAGGTGTTGCTATCTACATTAAGCTTGATCTAGTCGCGCATGAGGTATCTGATTGTCATCTAAGAGAGACTTTAAACAACAGCAACTCCGAGCAAATATGGTGCGAAACTAAAATCGTTAACGAAATGATTCTTATTGGTTTTGTCTATAGACCACCTTTATCCCATATAGATGATATAAATAAAACAATTATTTCAGCTAAGCAAGCTGTTAATAGAAAAGCGTATAGTTGTATGTTATTAGCAGGTGATTTCAACTTTCCGGATAATAAATGGCATAATGACGAAAGAATCGAATTACTAAGCGGTCAAAATAGTGCTGCAAGTATTTTTTTTGTAACTTTGGCTAATCATAATCTAGAACAATTAGTTGATTTCTCAACCTTCGAAGCATCTAATGGAAATGCAAAAAATGTTTTGGATGTAGTTATTACAGACTCTTCAACTAGAGCAATCAATTTATCTAGCTCTATGCCGTTAGGTGATTTGTCACAAGGTCATCGCATATTGAGTTGGGATTATGTTGTCCTTTATAAAAATAAAAATGTCGTCCTTTCAAAAATATTTCTAATAAAAAAAAACTTTCTCAAACAAAAATGATATGATTTTAATAAGGGTGACTATAAAAACTTCGGTAAAAAGATGATGGAAACTAACTGGCAGCAATTATTTGAAAATAAAAACACTAACGAATGCTATGAACTTTTCTGCAATAAATATGATAAACTCAGCAAGCAATTCATCCCGTTAAAAAAAGTCCATTCTACTCGTAATGCACCGTGGATAAATAAGGAAGTATTAGCTATGATAAAGAAAAAACAACAACTGGGCAATTACTTATCTATGACAAACTGGCGATCAACGACCCTCATTTGTGAATATAAGAAACTAAAAAGCCAAGTTCAGAAAGCATGTACACATTGTGTTCAAATATTTGAAGCCTAAATGGCATCAGATAAAAATAATCCAAAAAGAATGTATGCTTATGCTAAAGCGCAACAGAACGTTTATGTATCTATTGGAGCTATGTCAGATGCAAAAGGTGAAACGTTAACAGAGGCAATACATATCGCAAACAGACTTAACGAACATTTTAAATTTGTTTTTCTTGATGATTGCAAAAATGATCAATTACCGGTTTTTTAGAGAAGACATAATCAAGAAGACTTAGGCGATGTAATAATAAGTTTTGAAGCAACACTAGCCTATTTGAATGGTTTGAACCCGAATAAATCTATTGGTGTTGATAATGTTAGTCCAAAGGTACTTAAAGAATGTGCAGCTCAAATGACTTACCCTCTAACATTTATTTACAATAAAGCACTGTCTGAAGGCTCGACACCTTTAGCCTGGAAGCAGTCACATGTTACACCGTTGTTTAAAAAAGGGAGTTGTCTTGATGCCGCTAATTACAGACCAGTGTCTATCACTTCAGTTCCATGTAAAGTAATGGAAAAGATTATCAAGGAACAGATAACTAAATATCTTGAAAAAACGAGCTGCATCTCAAACAATCAACATGGATTTATGTCCGAAAAGGGATGCACGTCTAACTTATTGGAAAGTGTCAACTACATTACAAAAGCGTTAAGCAAAATAAATTTTGTCGATATTGCATTTTTTGACTTTTCAAAAACGTTCGATAAAGTTTCTCATCGTAGACTACTACATAAATTGAAAGCATATGGGATCAATAGTAATGTTGGCAAATGGATTGAGTCATTCTTGACTAGCAGAAAACAACGAACAGTTTTAGGTAATCACTCTAGCGACTGGACCGATGTTATAAGCGAAGTTCCACAAAGGTCTGTACTTGGTCCAACATTATTCATCATCTACATAAATGACTTAACGGAGAATTTAAAATCAGTTCATAAAATTTATGCTGATGACACTAAACTGTTGCAAGAAATAAGACCTGAGTTTCACGATGCTGATTGTCTGGTTCTTCAAAATGATTTAAACATTATATCAGAGTGGTCAAAAGAATGGCTTATGGAATTATATGTTGCAAAGTGTAAAGTTATGCACCTTGGTCATGGAAATATAAATCATGAATATGTAATGATTGATGGTAATACATCTCTTATTATAGCGGCAACAGATATTGAAAGAGACCTGGGTATCTTTTTATCTAACGATCTAAAATGAAATGTTGATTATGAACATACAGGTTGCGACACGTAGAGCAAATATGATACTTGGCCTACTAAAAAAAACATTTAGATCAAGTGGTATTAAGCGTTGGGGTAAACTTTATACTACATATGTTAGGCCGCACCTGGAATTTGCTGTTCCGGTATGGTGTCCTTACTTAAAGGGCGATATCAAAGAAATTGAAAAAATTCAGCACAAAGTAACAAAATTTCCTCATGATTTAACAAGTTTACCTTATGCTGAAAGGTGTCGGCGTCTCAATTTTACTTCTTTGGAAACTCGCAGGCGACGCACAGTGTTCTATTTCGCGAATCTAGCGGAACTTAATTATTTTGTGTATTATTTCATTGATTATTTGTCGTAAATTTATTATTTTTTCTATAAAAATACCTTTAGCTGCAATTTTAATTAAAATTTTATATAAAATAGATATAAAATTATTAAAAATTACATGCAAAGCCAATATTTACATAATAATAATCTTTTAAAAACTTACTCAGCATAGAGTTGAAATTTAACACTTTGTTTATTTAACTTCAATAGATTTAAGATTGTTTATTGAAATATTTTTATAACCTAAACAAGTTTATAAACAAAACTAAAATAATAAATTGTTTAATCAGAATCACTCATATCACTGTCACTATTTTCTGAATGCCCGATTTTGTCACAAATTAACAGTTTGATTGTATCCGGATGAAAAGTTTTTGAATTTTTTCGAGGTGGTAAGTAATAGTTGGACAAAATTGGATCAGAATACAAAATAAATCTATTTAATATATCCCTATTGGTGTCGTTTCTCGTCATCTTCCTAGTTAAGTACTCACGATAAATTCTATAACTTTTATTTGAAGCTTCCTGGGCTTCTTCTGACAATTCTCCCAAAGGAAGAATGCATGTAGAAATGATATCTCTCCCATGTATTAATATTTTATGAATAATTGCTGGCAAGTAATACTATGGGTACATAGATTGGTATAAATATTTAGTCTCATTTGCATATTGATGAAATTTTTCTGAATTTATTTGGAATCCACTGCCTAAAGTATGAAAAATAATTTTGAATCTATGTATTAATTCCTCATTTACTCCGGTGATTTCTGATGTTATATGCGGATTTTCAAAAAATCTTCTAGTAGTATTGCCGTCATTTGTTGTACCGAATGATTGTTTGGGTTTATCAACAGATAACCCAAGTTTATTCTCAAATAATCTTTGAATTAGTTGTTTTCTCTCATTCACACTTTCCTTTTTTTCTTGCGTTCTAGATTGCAATTTTTTTATGCATAATTTATAGGATAAATGTGAAATGAACTCTAAACAGCGAATCCAACAATGGAGTGGGGATATACCAAAGGTATATTACATTTATAATACATTTTCTCTTTGTCTTGTTGAGCTTTTCTTGTATCATCTCTTTTGGTTTGGCTCCACATATGTAACACATT